AGCTGGTTAGGGTCCCCAAAGATGTAAAGATGACCTCTGCAAAGTATGTGGAGTTTCTGACTGACCACTTTCTTCCTGGTACAGAAGGAAGAACTAGGCTTTCCATAATAAAATCATCTTCATGCATGACAATACACCATCTCATGCTGCAAAGAATACCTCTGCATCAATGGCTGCTATGGGGATAAAAGGAGAGAAAGTCATGGTGTGGCCTCCATCCTCCCCTGACCTCAATCCTATTGAGAACCTTTGGAGCATCCTCAAGCAAAAGATCTATGAGGATGGGAGACAGTTTACATCCAAACAGCAGCTCTGGGAGGCTATTCTGACATCTTGCAAACAAATTCAAGCAGAAAAAACTCACAAGTTCAATGGATGCAAGACTGAAGCTGCTATAACGCGACCTGTGAAAATGTTTAAAGGACTACTCTAGGCACCCAGACCACTTCAGCTTAATGAAGTGATCTGGGTGCCAGGTCCAGCTAGGATTAACCCTTTTTTTTAATAAACATAGCAGTTTCAGAGAAACTGCTATGTTTATAATAGGATTAATGCAGCCTCCAACTCCTCTAGTGGCTGTCTCATTGACAGCCGCTAGAGGCGTTTGCGTGCTAGAGGCGTTTGCGTGATTTTCACAGTGAGAAGATGCCAGCGTCCATAGGAAAGCATTGTAAATGCTTTCCTATGAGACCGGCTGAATGCGCGCGCAGCTCCTGCCGCGCGTGCACATTCAGCGGAAGGAGAGGAGGAGGAGAGCTCCCAGCCCGGCGCTGAAAAAAAGGTAAGTTTTAACCCCTTCCTCTCCCCAGACCCGGGCGGGAGTGAGACCCTGAGGGTGGGGGCACCCTCAGGGCACAATAGTGCCAGGAAAACAAGTATGTTTTCCTGGCACTATAGTGATCCTTTAAAAAGTTAAAATGTTGAAATAAGTTTGATTGGAAACGCTTTTAAATTCAGTAAATATGCTGCAAACACAACAAATGACAATTTTCAGTTCTTTACAACCTATAAAGTGTTTTGAAACTTACGGTGCGTAATAATTTGGAACAGTGCATTGTACCTTTTGTTAGTTTAAAAAAAATACTATTATCATTAGGAAGTTTGTTCAATAAAATTTGAATTGTACTCTTAATAGTTGATAACATGAGAATTATGCTGACTGTTATTTACATCAATTATTTAGGTAAATGAGAAAAATATAATTTGCATAATAATTTGGAACCGGGTGTATAGTCACTAGCCTAATGTAGTGGCTGGTGTCTATAGCATGTCCCTGCAGGATTTTTAATGTAAACGCTGCCTTTTCAGAGATGCTGAACACTCCCCATAGAGAGGTATAGATTCAATGCTTCTCTATGAAGGCATGCTAATTGGTACAGTGCCGTGAGAGCCTCCCAATGCCTTCCTAGGTAAAACATTGGATTGGCAGAGATTATCAATACTGATGATCTTAGCCATGGAGTCTTGGCCGCTGCAGCGAGACTGGCGCGACAATGGAGAAAAGGTAAGTTAAAACCTTTTTACTCCACTCTCAGGGGGGCAGGGACCTAAATAGCTAGTCCAATACTATAGTGTTAGGAATACATGTTTGTACAGCTAACACTATTGTTGTTATTATTATTACTGGCATTTGTATAGTGCCAGCATATTCCGTAGTGCTTTACAATATTATAAAAGGGGGAGATTTAACAATAAATGAGCCAATTACAAAAACGTACAGGAACAATAGGTTAAAGAGGGCCCTGCTCAAACAGGCTTACAGTCAGTGTTCCTTTTAATGCATATGGCTGAGAAAATTTTAAAAAAATTCTAATAACATTTTTCCAGCCTAAGCTTGTATCACTTTACGTACATACTTACTGCACAGGAAATTCAAACCATACTGCAAAGGGTTAAGGGACAAAGACTGAAATGTTAGATGCCTGTGACAGTCATGAAAGAAATACCTTCCTGGGTTTATTTTAGCAAAGGGCTCCCCTCGGTCAAGCTAACACAGCATGTGTGTGAGTGTGTGGGAACATTGTCTATTGACTCTGTAACCTCTCAGAACTCCTTGGGACTCTTAGTAAATTACAATATTTTGCAGTTTTTCATTTAATTTTGGGTTTCAATAGAGCATGTTATCCAGTCAAAACAGCAGAAAGGAAATATCCTGCTCTGTATGTAGTGGATATTGCAATTAATATTAGACAATGTTAACGGGTTATTCAGTAAACTGTGAATTCTCTGAAAACTAGATTAGCAGAAACAGAATTTGATTGTACTCTCGAGATGTCTTATTGCAGGTCATTAACCCCTTCGTGGCCAAAAATGTGCTAGAACTATCAGTATATCACTGTATGTGTCATGTCACTTGTCCTGAGGGAGTTAAGATGTCATTGAGTTGCATTTTAGAAGTGAGCATGTTCATTTAACGCTACAGTTCATAATGTGGATGAGGGTGTTCAGATTTTCAAAAGCTTTTAAATGATTAAAATTAAGTTTGTTTATAAAAAATTATAATTTGAGGATTCAGAACAAGCAATAATGTTGCATGCCTAAAACATGTTTCTCCGCTGGCATTCAAAGGATTAAAATGGCAAAGAAAATCAAGAGACAAAATTGAATTTTTTGTTTTTCTAAACATCATTTAAAAAAAAAAAAAAAAAAATTTAGGAAACCGTGCTGTCTCTGGATATTTGGTAAAACATTGAAAATCGCCTATAACTTATGTTAATCCTTTTTTTAGTATCGTTCTATACTATTCAGCCCACATCTAGCCAAACCTCTCGTTGAGTCCCAATCTAGGGTATTTGGACACCTTACTCGGACCTGTATTTGCCACAATGACCGAAAAAAGAGCAAATTATAAAAACGCATTATTATCTACCTTTCTGTATTTGAAACCTGAAACAGAGCATATTTTATTTTGACTTTATGCTATGTTATATTTTTAATACCGAAAATGTTGTGTAAGCTACAACAGCCACTATCTTACGCCACAATTGGCTTAATATGTACCATTTGTGACTTCTGTGTTTTACATGTCCTATTAACTCACAATAATAAAAGAGTTTAAACTTAAAAACACATTATTAGACCTACACTCAATTCCTATTACCCTAAGGCAATGGTAATGCAACGGCGGCAAGGCATCCAATTCAGTAGTTTATAGATACGCCATGGGTGATGAGATTTCTGCATATATAAAATACGACTTTTTACAGCATTACTAAACAATGATAAAATTTAAGGCCAGAGTAGCTAAACTGAAAGCATAGGTGGCTTAGATCAATTTCCAGTTCATTTATTTTGACCTTAAGATTCAAATTCACTTTGCATTCTGGCTTTATTGAATAGCCCTGTTGTGGTGTCATTTTCCATTCAGATGTCAATTCATCCCAATTCTAATGTATAAACATTCTCAGGACTATTGTATTGCTGTGTGATTGATCTAGAGTGCAAAGTTAATTTTGTGGCCACATTACGAAACTGAAAACTCAACTACTTTTTCCTAAAATTTTAAATTCACTTTTCAGTAATTTTGAATGCACAACAATTAACGCATGACGAATTACTTTATATGGTGAATAACCCTGCGTGTCAAATGTGAATTGAAAGTGAATGTCAAAATCCAGGCAAAATAGTCAAATTGGGATAATGTTTCCAGTTTGGCTTATTTTGGTGTAAAATTTTAAATTCACTTTGAATCACCAGAAATTCACAAGTTAGTGAAAAAAACAATTGTGTTGCTTCATCATCATCATTAAATAATCTATTCAGAAGGATGGCATTTCCCGCAGAAATCATGACTTTCTTTAATAGACTGCAAGCTAATATCCTATGTAACAGTACATTAAATATAAAACCTGAATTATCTTTCTGTGTGTGTTTGAATAGTACACCAAATTACAAGTATTTCTGTATAGATTCGTTAATAATTATTTACTTTTTTTAAGTAAATAAAAAGGATTCTTTGCAAAAGGACTCAAATATTTAATTAATATCATAAATATATTTGTACTGTTTTCGAATCTAGGTGTATACATTTTGAATCCATTATAGATCACTACAGTATATGTTAGTGCTCCGTGAATAAAAATCACAATGAAAAGACTGAGCTGTATTGCACTCAGTGTGCACACTATGTATATTTTTTTATATTGATTTAAAAAATAAAAATTGTGATTTTATTTAATTGGTTTTTTTTTCCAGTTCAAAATACATCATAGTTGGATTTTGCATATTCATTCCGTCATTTTTTTTGTATCTGATGAAATGGAATAGACACAGATAACATAAACAGAATTTGTAATATTATATTTATTACGATGGCAAAGCTCTCTGTGGATATTTGTCTCTGCCATGTATGTAAAGTGTAGCATTGATATGTACATTTGTTGTTATATTTTTTTATTGAATTTTTCTCATATACAAAAACATACACAAAATAATAATTAAAAGTGACCTTTTATCTCCTATATAACAGTAACTTCTATACTTGTTCCCTTTTTTTTCTTTTCTTTTCCCATTTTCTTTTTCCTTTCTTCTTGATATGTAAATTTAACCTTTTGTGAAGCAAGATGCAAGTCTGTTAGAATAAATTAGCACACACAAAAAAACCAATAACCAACAAAAAGGAAACTTTGGGAGAAATCTGTAGATGCGTACACCCTTAAAAACAAGGCTCTAGGGTGCAAATAGAAGACACTCCTCTAAAAATGAGAACAAAGAGACCAGTAACCTGTCAGAGAAACCGATATCAGGCATTGTGATTTCCAGTGAATGCAGCGTACCATGCTAGCCTGTCATTTCATGTTTTTTTATTCTGTGTGCTTTGCCTGTCAGGGACGGAATACACAGACAGAGAGACCTTGACAGCCTGGCATTTTAGGCACGAACACTCACACACTGCCAGCAATGCATTGACTATGCTGCTTGAGCAGGAGCAAAGCTGCCTCTGAATAGCTGCTGACGTCACAAAGGTGTCGACTGGCAACGACTGTGACTATGGGAGATGTGTTCCCTTCTGTGTCTGAGCCAGCTATTTAATAGCCCGCTTTACTTTCAAGTTCAAAGAGGCTTTGTGACAGCAGCAACACTTTTACAGCCAGTCATAGGAAGAAGGCTGTCAGGAAGACCCAGAGGATGAGAGATCGATGTGAGGCTCCCAGAACGCGTGCAAAGAAATAGGTAGACATCAGTTTATAGATGGAATCGGAATTGTGAATGTTCCTTGACATGACCACAGCATTCTTCTCACTGACTGTTCAAGGGGACTGTTCAAACAGGGCTGGCCCTTGTTCATACAGTCACCCTTTTTTTATATCGCTCATCTGCCTGCAAGGCAACTGTAGGACCTGTCAAGTTCATGGATAAAGAAGGACATCTCAATCATAGGTTCCATTGCGCTGGTCATAATTTAATTCTGCTCATCATGGGTATTGGTTTGGTGGAGCTTGGATTATCCTGTCCCAAGGGATGTGACTGCGAGCATCTTTTAGTGAATTGCACTGATAAACAGCTAGAAGAATTCCCAACGCGTATCCCGATGGACACCAGGCAACTGGTCCTCACGCGCAACAATCTGACTTATTTACCATCAGTGGAGCTCAACCTTTTGATTGATTTGGTATATTTGGATTGCAGTTACAATATGTTGGGGGATTCGCTTGAGGCTACATTCATCGCATTGCCCTTGGTTTACCTGGATTTAAGTCATAACAACCTTTCCAAGATTACCACTGGAACGTTTTATCTGTTGACCAGCCTGGTGGTCCTAAAACTATCTGATAATCCCAATTTGGAAGGGGTTGAAAAGGACTCATTTGCCAACAACACTGGACTGCGGCAGTTGGATCTTAGCCGCACGGCTTTAAACTATTTGGATGTCAGCACAGTCAGTCAACTGCCCAGTCTGAGAACACTAGGCCTCAGCTCCAACCCTTGGGATTGTTATTGCCCGTTAAAAGAGTTTCTCAAGTGGGTGATTGAGAGTGACGTATACTTCACAGGTAAGCATTATATTGGAGAGGGTATCAATTGTGGTAACTTTTATGGTTGGTTTGTGTCTGTTTGCAGGCATATAAAGCCTATCTGCAACTGTCCTGTTTCACAATTTAGAAATTGCATTGTTAAAATAATTTTTCCAAAATCTTAAAATCTCCATCTTTCTCATTAAATATTGGATTGTTCCAGATTTTCCAAATAGTCAGGCCTGGTCTATGTAGACAACATGTAACTAACAAAACTGCTAGTTACATGTAATATATTTATTGAATGAGACTCCACAGGTAAATCCAGAGTGGATCGATTTGTTCGAGCGCAGATTCAAAGGCATTTGATTTGTTTGTCCCAGCTGCAATGCATTTGTGTCCAAGTCTACAAATACATGATCACATTAGGGGACTTTCATAAAGTCTGCACATTCTGTGTTGGAATGATATAGAAATATTTGGTGGCAGGATATAGAAACAAGACAAGACATCAGCTCAGCTAAAATAAAATAGCTCCTGGATATATATTTATGTTTATATTTTAGGTAAGCAAAAAGAGACTGGAAAATATTTAAATTTTCTGTAACTTATTACTAAAATCTCCGGACACTCCACTGCCCAAATAAATAAATCAATACATAAAATCTGTTTAGTAGGCATACCCCCTTTGAAAACATGTTTCAATGTGGGTATACTGAAAAACAGCTTGCAAAAGCGGCATATCTCTCTTCTGCTGCCTTTGCAAGCCCTCCCCTTCTACCCCAGCCTAGACTTTCTGTGCCTGTCCAATCACATTCTTTCCAATGCCGTTCAATGAACAATCTATATTTGCAAGGCAGGAGTCTGAGCTATTGCTGCCTCTTGAGGTTACATCCAGAAAGTGACAGGATTGGTTATCCGATTGACAGACAGAAGGGTGTAACCAGATTAATTTAGAAAAGTGCTAACTTCTATTGAAATCTGCACTTTTTGGAAAATGTTAAAAGAGGACACACTCTTCACACATAAGTCACTTCAGTAAGCTAAAGTGCTTTATTGAGTGTCCTTTAAATATGTAATCACATATACACTTTTACTTTGCATTATATGTTTATTTGTGAATCTGACATCAGCTAGAACTTGTAGCTAAATTCTTAATATTATAGAGTGTAGTTAGCTTTAATATGTCCACACAGCAAACAGTTATACAAATGTAATCATCTTTCCACTTGTCCCAATATCCTTGCACTAATTCTCAAGAATATAATGGCTTTCACTGTACATTGGCAGAATGTGCGGTGTGTATGACTTGAGTATAGAATGAAAGCATGTTTACCATTTCTTTTGTTAAAAATAGAAACAACCGGCGCAGACGGGCCTCTTATTTATAAACCATTACAAACAATATATATATATATATAACATAGATACTCACCTTCAAAGTTCCTGCACAGCTATAGACAGCAGACCACTCCCATACCAGGAAGACACTCCACAAATCGAGATGTTCATGTTGGTCTATGTATGAGGCCCAATCTTATCCCATAAATTCTGTCCAGTGAAACGCACGTCTTTGCTTTGACTGGCTTATAGCTGCAACAAAGCTTATACATTTCTACAGTAACAAGTTATTATAGGTGGTGCAGAGAACTCTTTGCACAATACCCTTTGCAATTATGCAGAGTTGTTATGGTGCTTAGAGTGCATGTCTAACTTACTAAAGTTATTTTGATTATTACATTCTATACTCTTTTCCTTTTTTTTTTTCTCTAATCTACAGTATTAGTTTGGATAAATACTACTTCCCCTGAATACTTATTTGGTGTGTTGTGCTGGTATTGATGCACCAGCTTCCATAATATAATATACCACAGGATATGTTTTTATAATATATTAATAATCTAAAATAATTAATAGTATTGCGAGCCTTAAATTCTCTTCAGATGCTGGTAAAATTATATCTCAAGGCCCAGTGGTAAAATCTAAAATATTTAATAGTGCCCCATTTACAGTCTCTGAAACCATTGCTCGGACCAGAATCTTCAGCTAGGAACTTGGATTCAAAGTGCAGGTTGGTGCTGGGATGACATTTAGTGCTAGAACCATACTTATAGCTGAAACTGAGGGAAATATTGAAATCAACACAAGTACAAGCCATCCACACAAAAAGACGTATTTTGTGCAATGTTATTCAAAATGTGGAGGAATCATCTTTGCTTTTACTGTACAAAAATGACATACCTATAAACGCTCCGTCTATACACTAGAACTAGTATTGTAATCTCTCAATACTCTGCTGTTTAGAAGTTAAGACACGTTATGTTTGCAGCTCTAGCCACACTTCTAGCTGTGACTCATGCTGTGTCCCTACACACTTCCTGAAAGACTGTTCATTTGGCTAATATTTTATGTTTAGTCAGTACACAGAGGATATTTACGTTAGAAGTCATTATCCTATGCTCTGTTAATTGTGTGCTAGCGCCAGCAAATATCCAAGAAAACTAATATTTAGCTGGTTTTCCTTGAAAGGAAAAAAACAACAACCTCCAGGAAGATATAAACCTGTACGGACTTGAGTTACAAAAAACAAACAAATGCAATTTAATAAAATAGATCAGAGAACGGTGTGCAAAAAAAAAAACACCAGGAGAAAAACAAACATAACATAGAAACATGTAATATGTTTCATGCCATCTAGGGGTCTTATTCATTTACTTTTTCATAGTATAGAGCCCTGCCAGCAGCCTCCTGTGTGAGATTAAAGTAATCACACAATGCTTCACAGAGAGATTCAAGAATCAGAGAAGCACATTCTGAACTTATTTTAGCACAATTTTGAGTGTATTAGTTTAATTGTGTAATTTGTAAAAGATCCAATATTTAGTTATTTAGTAATGGTATTTGCTAGAAGCATTTGATTGGAAATTGCCAAGCATGGTCAAGGAAGTACATTGATTCAATACATCTCTATGAGGAGATG